GAGGCTTATTATGTTGCATCAAAGTATATGCTATGGTAGCAACCTTTCCTTCAGGTGTAGGAACACTCATGCTAAACTTTGAGTAGCAGAGACTGTCTATACCTAAAATGTAATATGCCAAGACAGTTGAGAAGTTCATCCTCATTGTCAAGATATCACAGACCAGAAATACTTCCTTCCTGTGAACACAGGAGTACATTGGGATATCAGAAGTATAAGACATTTAAAAAAAATTAAATCTGGAGCTTCATCCTGATGGTATTATAGACCCAGAAGCAAAGAGAAGGAAAGAAGTTATATGGATGAGTGACACATGAAGGTCAAGAAAAAGAAAAACCTCAACAATACAGTGGCAAATCAAACCCTCCCTCTTTTTGAGTTTACAAAAGCTCAGGAAAGGAAAGGAACAGAATTAACTTCTTGTAAAGGAAAGAAAAAGAGCTGGTGGCTTGTGGGTTGGTTTGTTGTTGCTGTTTGATTTGTTGGGGTTTTTTTGTTCTTTGTTTGTTGGGGTTTTTTTGGTTGGTCGTTTTTCTGGATTGTTTGGGGTTTTTTTGGTTGGTTTGTTGTTGCTTGTTTGTTTTGGTTGGTTTGATTTGTTTTCTGGTTTGGTTCCCCCCCACCTCACCAAGAACACATTTTGAGACTGGAATATTTGATCTTCTGGTCATGGTGCAAAGTGTATACCTCCTTAAATAGTCAGATTATTTTGATTATTTAGAAGTATACTACAAAAGGAATACTCAACATGTGACCTAGTTATTGCAAAGTCTAATAGTTTCCGGGGCTGGAAGAGTGGAGAGACTAACCTTGTTCTCCTCTGGCACAAAATACATAACAGTGAAGCTGACCATCCTTATCTGTATCAATTCCCTAGTAGATGCTATGGAAAGGAAATGCACAAATACAACCTTTATGCAAGCAATAAGACACTCTAACTGCAGTGAAGAAGAAGCCCAAAGGTCTCACCAACAAGAGAGTCCTCTCAGCATTTCAGTATGACAGGAACACTAGGAAAATACTTCAACTTGTTCTGCAGGAATACTTTCCAGTAATGTATCAACATTGCTCAGATTACACCAGTGGTGTGACCCTGCACACAGCAGTGATGAATGAAGACCATTCTTCATGGCAGAGCAATCAGTTTTTGTCATAATGAGGTCAGTCTAACTGCCACATCAGGGTTGTTGAACTTGTGCAGCCTGATTTGCAGCAGATAGGCGACTGTCATCCTACACCTTAGAGAACTCTAGTCACCTCAGACCTCCACTTCAGGGACAGATTTCATTTCAGCATGCTTATTCTCAGGCCATACAGCCAGCACTCTGGCCACAATCCAGTTATATTGAATGGCTTCAGAAGAGTATCCAGAGAAAATTTCACTTGCTAATCGCCAAAGTAGGCTAATACACTGCTTTCTTTAACATGTGTTTCTTCCGTCCTCACAGACTTTGCTGAACACCCTCAAGCCAGCATAGGCATAAGGCCTCAGAGGAATAACAGTGAGTTTGCTTTACCACAACATTCCAGTTCTTCCTGTGTCATGATTTGATAGATATCTTGGATAATTGTCCCCAGAAGGTTGAGCTACAAATAAGCCCTGACTGCAGGAAAGGGATCATGGCAATGTATTCCATATCATGGAACCACAGAATACCTCGAGTTGGAAGGGACCCATAATGATCATTAAGTCTCCCTCCCTGCTCCTCACAGGACTACCTAAAACTAAACCATACAACTAAGAGTGTCATCCAGATGCTTCTTGAACTCTGACCACCTCACTGGGAACCCTGTTCCAGTGATCAATTACCCTTTCAGTGAAGAATATTTTCTTAATGTACAATCTGAACTTCCCCTGAATTCTGGTACTCTACAAATGAAACAACTTTTCTTCTAAGGGAGGACAATTGCCTCTCTTTTAGAACTACAAACTAACACTAGCATAGAACACTCTCCTCTTATATTTTTAAGCTCTTGACGAGAGCTTAAACTGAGAGACGGAGAATGTTAACACCATTCAAAGCATGAGAAAAATACAGTGATTCAACCTTCAGGAAGGACCTAATAACTTCACAAAGCACTGTACTACGCACAGACATGAAAACTCAGGATAGTAGAAGCTTGGTAGCTGGATCTCAGTTTTTTCATCTAGCTGTTCATGTTCAAAACACTTTGTTTGCTTTTTCTTCTTTTAAAACAGTTTTTGATTTTGCTAGTTTCAGATTCTGTGGTAGTTAATTTTGATATACAACAACAGCATGGCTTTTATGTAGTCTGGATTAGAAGAATTATAATGTTGAGGAAAAGCAAGGTCTTGATCTTAAATACGATCTCACTGTTGAGCCTTACATAAACTAACAGGAGCTTTGGGATTTGGCTTGAGAGAGAATCTGCAAGGCGCTAAGCAAAAAAAAACCCAAACAGTGTTAACCATGGAAACTGTAATAATAACTTGTACTGGAAAAGCAATGTAGGGTAATTTTAAATAAAGATAACATCAGAGAAGGAGCTACAGAAAGAGCCAAGGGAAAACACAGCTTCATTCGAGATCAATCTCATTCAATTTACAACATTTTACAATAGCTCTTTCCATTAATTCACATCTGGGAGCACAGTAAAGTAAAAACTGTCTAGCTGGATCAAATAAAATGTTTCTCTAGTCAAGTATATGACTACAACTGTGGCAGCAACAGATGCCTACAGACAAATAAACAGGGCAACCATAGAGACTTCTCCAGTGTGTTTCCCAGATTTCAGTGTCTTGGACCTCAAAAACTTAGAGAAAAGCAGCAGTGTCTATGCCAGACACCTCCATGGATTTTCAATCCATCAACTTTCTAGGCATTTTTCAGACAATTTAAATCCTGTGGTAGAGCTTTCCATCTGTAACCACAGAGTATGAATAATGACCTGTTGCTGTCCCTTTTGAACTTGCTACCAGATAGGTTTGATAGTCTAGTTCTCACAATGAAACAAATGGCTAAATAAATAATTAAGCCCCTATCAATTTTTTTTCTGGTTCACTCATGATTTTACAGATCACAGAATATGACATATTCCTCTCAATTTTGCCTTTTTTCAAATCTAACTCTACATTGTCACATCTCAATAGGAAGATACCCAATGCTCCTGATCACTCTTGACGCCTCTTCTGAACATTATCCATTAATATTAGATATATTTTGAGATGTGGCAGCCAAAACTGTATACAGCATTACAAGATCCAGCACATTATAGTTTCATTGATAAGTGACTTTAAGATACTTTTCCTTCATACCCTATTGTTCTCCTAAATATTCCTAAATGTCATTTCTTTATTTGACTAGTACTTGACAGCAAATGGGTGTTTTAATTGATGTGTAATGCCAGGATCACTTTAATGAACACTAGTAGCTAGTCTGACATGAAACACATAGTTTGGTTTAATTTTCCTCTTCATCTGCATCTCTTTACTATGACTTTGCCAGAGTTTTACACGGCACTTCATGATACAGTCCCTCAATGCTGCAAAAGCCTTTGAACATCTTTGCAGTCTGCTCTCCATTTTTCTATCATACATAACTTAGCATCAGCAGAAAATATTGTTATTTTAACTCATCTCTTTGGTGAGATACATCTCCCTCCCATTATTAACAGAACCACAATTTCAGATAGAAACAGTTAAGAAAAATGAAAGATAAGTTTCATGTTTCTATATGCTGTTAATTAGATCTTAACCCTGACAGTGGAATGAAAATATAGTTATTTCAGTGTTTAAGCATCTTGACAATTACTGAATTAACCAAACCCCTTGCCATTACTAAAATGTTGCATACATGTGGAAGCAGCATGTCAGCCAATAAATCACAATAGTGAAATTCTTGATATTTGAAAAGCAGCAACAGCTGCTTTTAAAAGGCATATTTGTTTATGGTAGGGGAAAGATATGCTGTTAATTAGATCTTAACCCTGACAGTGGAATGAAAATATAGTTATTTCAGTGTTTAAGCATCTTGACAATTACTGAATTAACCAAACCCCTTGCCATTACTAAAATGTTGCATACATGTGGAAGCAGCATGTCAGCCAATAAATCACAATAGTGAAATTCTTGATATTTGAAAAGCAGCAACAGCTGCTTTTAAAAGGCATATTTGTTTATGGTAGGGAAAGAACAGAAACCTGAAGTACTGATGAAAAAGGATCTAAATTGACAGGATTGAGGGATAAGGACTCAAATCATAATGCTAAAGACACCAGCGAAAGGAAAATAAATTTAAAAAAAAACAAAAACAGTTAAGTGCACTAACACATTTATCTGGAGAGTTTAATTAATTTGTATATTAACTGCCTTTCATGTATATGCAGAAATTCCACTATTTCTTTCAACTGGTACTGTGGAACAAAAAAAGCTGCAAGAGACCAAATTATTAGAAAGTCCAGCAACACAGTTTTCCTCAGTGTTATGAGAGGGCTGTCTTCTATACTGAATATACTGGATTTTAGACTAGTGGACTTTCTCTAATACAGGTACCTTGCTCTTAACTATGTAAACCTGTACAACTGCCTTAATTCACACACTAACTTCCCAAAATGAAGTGAAACTTATCCTCTTGAATACCCAAGTAGACTGACATGCTTTCTTAGCCACAGCTATTTATTTCCAAGTCTTCACTTAGAGGTCAGTGGTGTTCATCTCAAAGCTTTATCAAGTGGCCTGTTAAGACCATAACAGCTCTTGCCTAGGCTTGCAACCCACAAGCTGCACAGAGGAACAAGTGGCTTCCTTTGGCTCTGCGCAGCCCCCTTTCTAGAAAAAACAAATGCAAACAAGTGCAACTGCAGAGAATACGACTGGGCTGAGAGGTTTTTTCAGTGTTACAAAAACTTGGCAGTGCACATAAAGAGAAGTTCATGTGTTTGTTCTATCCTCCCAATAATTGTACATAATTACAGACAAGCCACTGGCATAATGAACACTTCCCAGGAGTCAAATTATGTGTCAATAAACAGGAACATACCTTTTCGCCAGGAAGACCAGCAACACCATCATGTCCTTTTGCACCCATTTCACCCTACAAAACAAATTATTCTGTTAGAAGTTTTAAAGACTTCTGAGGCTAACAGCTACTCAGGTCACTTCTGAGTCAACAAAAAAAAACTTTCTACCCTGTTTTTGTCATGCTTAGTAATGTAAACACCAGGGAAGAGGTAATGATAAAATGTAACTATAAAATCAGACAAAGTAAATATATTTTAAACCACCTTTAATGTGAACTAAGACCCTCATCTGACAAAGACATGGACATGTCCATAGAAAGCAGGTATCCTGATTTTAAGGGAATTAATTCACTGCAACAGCAGAATGAAGCCAAGTGTATCAACTTTCACTGTGTTGTGTTGTACACTGAGAAAGCTCAACATGTAATATCAATTTCTTTGGTCTAAAATTCATGTACCCACAATATTTTAAAAATACATTATTTAAACTCAGTTTCTCTCACCCTCTCTGTTTTATCCCCTCAGGGAAACCCTGTCCTCCATTTAAATTTTTTTCACAACTATTCACAGAAACCATAATAAAATAACTGCATGTGTGCAGCCTCGCTCAAAACTCCTTTGTTAATAACAGGTGAGCAAAACAAATCAATCAAAATTATTGACTCATGGGTGCAGAGCAGCATTCCAGCCATAAGTTTAAACCACTGCTCAGAAACAATGATGTTCTGGAGGAGCGTATGAACCATTTCCTATGTCTTATTCATCTAGATAATAGAACGGTCCTCTGTTAGCTCCATCCCAAAAGTAGACTAAAATCCTATGCATGTGAATAGTATGAACCCACTGGCATTAAGAGAGATGAAGAAGGAGGACTAGCCTCTGGTTACCTTATCTAATCACTCACAGAGTGACTCTCTTATCTATGCACGCTCTGTTCCCTTATGCCATCTGCCAGTATTTTAATAGACCAGAACCACATTCAGCAGTGTATTTTTATATACTGCATAGTCTAAAATTACACAGGCTGCTACATGCCAGGAAGCCTTTAGCATACACAACTTCCCAGCCATTTAACCAAGGTATGTTTACACTTCTGCTCCACTAACCCCAGACAGACTTCCCACCTTGAAGACAGTTATTTTCTACTGCAAATTAGATTATGAAATCATGCTTCTCTCTTGTAATTGTGATTTTAATAACCACAGCATGAAAGATTCTACTTTTCCATGCTTTTATTCAGTGACTTTAATAATTAGATACTGTGTGTTGTACAGCCTATAATATTATTCACACAAGCATCATAACATAATAAAAAGGAAAAAAAACAATGGGCACACACATTTTTAAAAGGGGTTTTGCCTATTTTCAATATTTTTTTTGCATAATTGGCATTTTCCTTTGCTTCTGCAGAGCTCAAAGTTCTTTGTAAAAGCAAACAAGCATTCTCTTCTCTTTCTTATGTAGCAGATGCCAAAAGTATACAATGAGAAGAAAAAACAGGGTTCCTGACCATCAAGTCTACATGTACCTCAACTCTTTTATAACTTAACAAGAGTATTCTAACTTCCAACACACACTGCAATTTAGCTTTTTAAGGTTATGTAACTAAATTAGTAAGAATTATAATAAAAATCAGCATTTGCTTAGAGTTACCAATGCAAACAGAAATATATGCTGCTAGAAGAACAATCTCATAAACTGCAGAATGCTGGCATTTATAGGTTACAAGGTATATTCAGCGTAACAAGATCCCAAGGTAAGTAATGTGAGCCTCAAGCCTGCTGTTAGGATTTTCTACTAAGGGTATCAGCGAAAATACTTCGTAACTGAGCACAACATACTTATTGAAAAAATATTTAAGCCATAGCACTTTTTTTCATAAGATGATCTCTTGCAAACAATAGGAAGGCCACTATTTTTCACAATGCTTCACAATGCAAAACTTCTAAGCCCACAGGCTGGAAATTCAGCAGGCTGAAATTAAAATGAAAAATGCTTCTTTCAACTTTCTATAAAAATAGAGAGATGGCAGACAGCAAACATGTGCCTTTCCAATGATAGCAATGAACCTTCTTTCTCAAGTGGAAACAGTTTTGTACATCTGAGACCACCTGCAGTACTACATTTGTATTTTTTTAACATTAATGATTCAGAGAGTTGCAAAAGCACTTGACCTTTACCTCTTTGCACCATGCTGCCTTTATTTGATACACCTGTTGCAGAACTAGAAATGATCTGCTAGTAGCAGACACAAAACACAGTAGCTTGATTCATATATCACACGTTACTATTGAAGACTTGTGTAGAGACGGATAGCCTAAAACTAAATGTGGTGATTGAGAGAATGCAAAGTGGTAATTGAATTTATCAAATTATAGTCCTTTCTCATATATCCCTGAAAAACTTTCTTTTAGGATTTTTATTTAAACATATTATCTTGTCTCTTAAATTGCATATTTATTTAAAATATCTTTACATTGTGACATGGAGTGGGTTTAACTTGATACATTAATATTTAATCTAAAAAACAAAGTCTACAAGGAATTTTTATAGAAAATGTTCTCTGCAGGATTCTGTACTAACCAGGTACAACTGATGATTTTAATACTAAAATAAAGCGAGTGCACTCAATAGAAAGACTGACATTGCCTAGAGCAAACACTGCTAGAGTTCTACATTACAACATTGCCCTTGTCTAGAATGGGGAAATATTAATTCAGACAAAATGAGTAAGCTGTCAAAATACTCCTTAACCAAAATCAGCTTTGGTTTTTCAGGATATGATTAAATAAATTATCTTTCTCCATTTTAATCTCTGTGTAATTATGTATGCCAATAGCATCAGAAATGTCCAGGTAAGAGAAATGTGAATTATTATCAACAATAAATACCAGCACACTCTGAACTGAGTTGTTCCCAACAGACAAGGTACTGACAGGGTTTCCAAAAGTGATAAAGTGGAAAGTGAAAGATGAAATGTACAGATTGCATCCTTCATACTAGATCTGTCATACGTATGATTAATGTCACAGGCTGCCCCTGTTAAAAAATGATCTAAGCTAAAATTTAGAAATTAGACATACAGACAGGTGAACCGTTATTATTCTAAAATGGTGACAGAAGTATTTAGACCTGAGGAAAAATACTCAAACAACTCATTAACAACTGCTAGTTGATCAATACAACAAATTCAGAAAATCTGCTAAGGGTCAGAAAGAAAACTCATCCCAAAGGCAGCATAACGCCAGGGTTTCACTGGCACTGGGGAAGAAGCAAGGAGTACATAGCCCAGGAAGTCTTATCCCTCTCATTTCCAATGGAAGCCTTCACGCTGCTGCAGTGCAGGGGCTTAGCCACAGCCTGAGCTGGGTGTTGCTGAGAAGTGGAGTGTCTTCTTACACTCATTATAAAATTTTAGTCTACTAAGTACACTGGCAACTCCTGACTATGCCATCACTAACAGCCACTGGTATTTTGCCCAGGAATTTTTTTTTTCTTTTTTTCCATGCATTCCAGCTTCTAGGCCCCTATCTGAGCCTATAATAATCTCTGCAACAAAAATCAGATCCCAAGAAAACCAGTCTCAAGGCTGCATAACACAATAGATATGCCTTAGGTGGAATCAAGTCTACCTGGGTTATAAGAGAAATAACAGAGGAGGAAAGGAAGACCAGCGAGGAAAATAGGCAGAAAGAAGAGCAGATACCTCATTTGTTCTCCATGAGCTCTTATTTTATTCTATTACAAATATTTCCTAGTGCAACAATATACTTTATGAAGCTATTTCTAGCAATCCTCAAATTGGGTCTTAAAAGTCTTATTCCTTAAATAAAATTGAAATTAATGAAGCTCACTTGAATAGCAATACATTTCTCCATGGTGTGCATCAACAGCCACTTTGATGTTTGAAAGCACTCTGCCTCTGGCTTTTTGCTCCCCACTATACTTACAGCATTAAACAATGACCTATTAATACAGCTTGGAATGGGTTATTAATATATCAAAAGAAGTAATTATTTTGGGATTTCAATTTAAAATCTTTTATGGGCACTAAGTTTACTTGAAATAAATTAAAATAAGAAAGATATCATAAAATTACATTTATTTTTTTTTAGCCTCTGTCCTGCCCAAGTCAAACAATGACACTCTTTGATAAATTATTTTTTTATACTCAGTATATACATAACCATTTCAATTACTGAGATCCATATTCTTTCTGAAGAATTTCTATATTTTAAGGACAAAACAGGACCTTCATACTGTGATCAAAAGATGTGCTAACAACGAACATGTTTGTAAGAGTCTGAGTAGCTATATATAATGCTCAAGCAGTAGAAACTGCTTCTGAAACAGAAAATATGGTTAATATCTCACACAGCTCAGCAGAAGAGGAAACCTAGCTCTATAGAATGTATATAGAAATGTGTTAAATCACAGGAGAGTTCCACCTGACTTGTGACCACTTGAAACATGTGAAATATACTGTGCTGAGAATCAAGATACCATGAAAGTAACCAAGGATATTATTCAGGCATAATCTAAATTATACACCTCACTGCTGCTGCCTCTCAGTTTTCATTCAACATGAAAAAGCTATCAGGTAGTCTAAAAAGTTTGTTGCCAGGGCAGACATCACTGAGGAGCAAAGAAATTTGGTCCTGGTGACTTTCTGAGTCTTAATTATTCAGACGTTAAAGAAGAAGAGGCTGGCCTCCACTGCAGAAGCTGGATCACCCAGTGAATTAAATCCTGGAAAGCAAGCATCCCTGATCCAGACTTGCACAGGAAACAAATGGAACAGGGACTACTACACTTGGGACAGTTTCTTCTACACAGTAAGGCGTAGATGTTATCAAACTGAACAGTCTGGTTGTTCAGTAGGGGAGAGAGACCTGAAATTGAGCAGCTTCTCTGCCCCAATAACACCTTCTCAAAGCCAACAGAGAAAATATTTTCATTGTTGAATAAGATTTGTCCTTATAATGCCTTGTCACAAACCCATAATGGAAGGCCAGGAATATAAATAGGAAGGTCATTCACACAAATGGAATAATTTTGATCAGTGATGCTCCTTCACATTCAGATGGGCAGCTTGTCAGAGATGCATCAATATTTGCATTAATTCTTGTTCCAGAGAAAATATGGCACTTCAGTAATTTGGGCCCACAATACACTCTGAACCTGTTCAGAGTTACTAAGATGAGCCAAGAGTACAGGACTGCCAAGAGTACTGTAAAGTGTACAGGAATGAAGTTGGAAAGATGTTAATTCAATTCAAAATGCCTAAAAATGGCTTATCAGGTATAATTCTTTGTACTTTTGATAGCTTAGATATTCCTGAACAGGCGAAACAGAGTCTGATCTTAGGAAACAAGCATGTTAGACTGAAGTGCAATTTGGGGAGTCTCAAATATAGCCTAATACCAATTTGTGTATGTAGAGACTTTCTTACCAGTCTCATAGCAACAAAAATACATGAAAATTCAGTCATACATATAATTATGGTGGACTGTAAATTGGAATGACACAATGTAAAATAAAAGGAGAAGCAATGCTGTGTTGAACAAGAGATGACATTAACAAGTACAGAAATTTCCCAGGAAAGAGGTAGAAAACCTAGCATTAATTTATTTTCATTTGTTTGCTGCCATGGCAAGGATGTTTAAATATAGTTAATTCAATGCTAATAATAACATTTAAAAGCAAAATAATAAGGAGCTGAGCACAAGCAAAGTAGGAAATATAAGTGGAAGAATGAAGCATCAGACAACGTAGAGATATACTCTTTGTTTTGTGACTGGCCAGTGAAGTTACTCTCCTTTACATAATCTGGAAATAAATCATGTATCCTGCTTGTCTGGAATTATCTGGGATCTTGCTGCCTCTCCATCTCTGATTATTGTAGCAAGGCCATCATAGAGAGCAAGTGTTATGGAAAACTTGCACAAATGCAGAGACAAAGAAAAAATGATAGTAAAGACTGAGAGAACATAAAGTTTAAGTCCATCATGGTAGACACTACTAAAGGCAGTATTTGTTTGCTCGCAAAAATCAACAGTGAGACTACCCTTTTAATCACAGGAGTTACGTGTCCTCTACCCACAAACAAATACAAAAATCTCTGAAAACCCCCAAAGCTAGGAAGTAGGAAGTACTGGTGAATTATAATTAATCACAAATGTCAATAAAAAAAACCAAAAAACCTTTAGGCTAAACTGCTGGATGAACCTAATCCTTCTCAGGCTCTAAATATTCAGTGAAGAATCAAAGTTGCTGATGATGAATGATCAAATTTGCACTTAGAGGGAGTAGGCCACTGAAAAAAAAATAATGTATTTGTATAGATCTTGAAAGATTTATTTTTTCATGAATCTCAAGCTTAACAATTTTCAGTTTGACATCACAGAAGATGCCCTCTAAAACAAACATTCTGGACTTCTGTCATTACCAACATTGCCAGACATGGCCTCATGCAAATTGCTGTCAGTGATGCACAGAAGCTGGAATAGTCCATTGACTGTTGGATTTTTTTAAAATCAATGCAGTGAAGGTCTGTTTGTAGAATGAACAGAACAGAACTAGAGGTGATAAAGGGCATGACATGCTTTACTCAGAGGTACTATGTTTAACCTGCTAAATATTGCTGTTTGGCTGTGAGATGGAATGGTAAAACAAAAATAAGACTTCTGAGTCTCCTTTCTCATCTTAGTAGCACTAAGAGTATAAATTGGTCAAGTCAGGTGCACAAAAGCAGCTTCCCAAATAAATGCTAAGAAACTCCCTATGTTGGTAACTTAGGCTAACTCTTACATAAATAATTATTCTATATACTCAGATCAAAGATTAGCAAAAACAATACATTTAGAAACTTCCAGTAATCCCTCTAGTTTCAGCTGGGCTATGGAAACAAACATGCTTGAACTTCTTTCTCCACCTAGGAAAATTATAAAGCTAGTATCAGAACTGAAATATATATTTGAAGGAAGGAGTTGCAAAGCAAAGACACTCGCAAGGAATTAACTTAATTTCAACCAAATGTGTAGATAAACTCTCTCAGAACTCTGCTCCCAAGCAGATACACTGTGCTCCAGGGAGTTGAGGGGACTCCAAAGCGAGAAAGCTGCCTGGCAGGAGGCCCATGTGCAGAACCAGAGACTGAAGGATAAAGGATTTAAACTGTGTACAGGGAGATTCCTTTAAGGAACAACAAAATTAATGAAGTTTCTATTTAAGAAGAATAAGCCAACATAAAATTTTGGAAGACAGAATTCAACTGATATTTTACCTTTTCACCTTTATTGCCTTTTTGGCCTGGCAAACCAGCTACTCCTGGTAATCCTGCTTCTCCCTGGGTTTAAAAGAAATAAAAAAATCAACAGAGAAGCAGATCTAAAATATGTATTTGATTTGGTTTCCTTGTCTGTATCACCTAAAGCCTAACATAGCAAATGACTCAGAACACCCAAGAGAAGGATTTAAAAAAAAAAAACAACAAGACTCTTACATAGAAAATAATTTATTTTCAAGTAAAATTATTTACACTAAATGTAATGCCTAAATATAATTCTCATTTTTACTATGATATTTTTTTTCTGGTGTGTATTCAAACAACTAAAGCTTACAGACCTCTGCAACTCTACCTTTAAAATAAATAAATCTAAAAAATACTGTTTCTTTACTGGGAAATACAATGTAAGTACATTACAAGACTAAAAACCACTAAGATATTTTTCAAAACCCCCAAAAAATCAATCAACCAAACTTTTTTTTTTTTTTTTAATACCTAGCAGGATTGAGCAGCTTGGTGCACTAAAAAGCAATAGGAAAACCT